GCCCGCCCGCCAAAAGCAGCAAGTCGATAGAGATGGCTTTATCACTGTTCAAAGGAAGAAAAAGAAGTCATCCCAAAACAAGTGCGGTACTGCACCGACCGGGCCGAAACATTTGCTGCGTCCAGCTGTACCAGTGACGCTGCTGTACGTGTCCAGGCTGCATTACTCTACAAAGGTCGAGGAGATTGTAGAGTATATTCAGATCAAAACGAATTACACTCTAAGGGTTTTGAAATTAGAATCCCACCACAGCGTGAATTTCAATTCATTTGTGGTGAGAGTGCCTTCCGTGGATTTACCAAAATTCATGACACCAGAGTTTTGGCCGAAAGGTGTTGTTTTCCGGCGATTCCGCGGCCGGATACCTGACACCGCGCAGCACACGACGCCGACACAGCACAATAGTCGTGATAATTAGTGTTTATATTTATTACTTACATTATGTATTTATAGTATTTTAAGTTTAAATTGTAGTAGATATTATAGTATTATTGTATTTTAATATGGGCCTTCGTTGCCTGATATAAATAAATAAATAAATAAATAAAAAAAAAAAAAAAAATAACAGATCATGTGTGAGAACCGTGCAAGTTCTTTCTGTAGTGGCCTTTGAGGAAAGAACCACAACAGTTTGAGCGGACCCACTCTGAAGGCAGTACGCATGTGTCGGTTTACAATCAGCTAAATTAACAGGTGAGGCTGACTGATTCGACGAACAATACCAACCTAAAGAACATTTGCGTGGGTCGCACAAATACTCAGACTGTCAAAATATGGGTAATTAAAAAAGAAATGACGAGGCAAAGTCTCGCACGGTCCTTGCACTAACAATTGTAAAATAAAAAGTAAATGTCAAGTTAGAACAACATAGAAAAAAAAATTCAAATGATAAACATCGCCCCTACAGTTACAGCGTAAAGTCCACTGCGGGCAACCTGACATTCGACAAACTTATATATGCGTTAGGTATAATAACTGTGTCTAATGATTTTGTAAGACAACGAAGTTTGTATGTTCGTGTACATATTTTTATCAGGATAAACTACGAGATAGTTGAAAGAATTGAAAGTAGCATAGGCTACATTTTGTTTCTTTCTAACCCACCACTTCCCTAAAACAGGGGATGGACGTTTGTTTGAAGCATTTCGTAGTTTTCAAGAAACCTAAAATTAGTATCTTAATTTTGACTAGCAAAACTTCGGGTACCAATTCTTTTTTTATCTTTTGTAAACCTGCCTTCAATATTTTAAAAGAGCGCGAGCAAAATCGTGGGCGGAACCTAGTCCATGAGTAAAATGTATTCAATTAATTGAATTCGTATTTTTTCTATAAAATCTCTTATTCTGATGCACATAAATACTATTAATAGCCCTTGAAAACAGTTTTCTATTGGCAGTCAAAGGCTTATGAGTATTTTGTTGAAAGATTATAACTGGGTTTTTAAAAATCTCAGTAGTAGCATGGAGTCTGGAAATGTGCCCGATATAATATGGCAATAGGCTCACCCCCTATTACATGGGACTTATAACATAAATAGTGAAAACTGGGTGTTATATTGTACAGTGACATTAAGCGCCGAAATGTGCACTTCTACCTACCCCTTCGGGGATAAAAAGGCGTGATTTTGTGTTATATTATGATGAAAGATCAAAAGAAGAGGATTTGACACCGAACTCTCCAGTCGAAGATTCGGTCGGTCCGAAGATTAATTTGAATCTTCATAAAACTTTTACTACCTATGTTACATATTACCAAATACCTAAATTCTATTACATAACTACGAAAGTCCCATCACCAGATTGTGATGTATTTGGATTGGTTGATGATGTCTTGATTGAGTGTATTTAGAATGAAAGTCAAATAGTGAATGTGTTTGGATCGATAAGACGTAATATTGGCTTTGTAACACCATTCATACTTTTCCGATTGCTGAGAAAGGAACAATATTTTATAAACATAAGAAGGTTATAATTAATGATTATTAAGTAAGATTTTATAATAAAAACAATGTGATCTGTATGAAAAAAAAATCCTGGAAATTATTAATGTAAAAAAATACCATTTTGATTTGCCCTGAATCCAAAAGTGCTTTTTAACTTAAAGTACTTAACTTGGACATACCTGGGTCGTTGAATGTGACGAGCACCATATTGCTGATCACGCTAGCCTTATTATTAAATACAATATCCATGATCTGGTTTACGCCGCTTTTGACTTGATTTATGTCATCAGTCATCGAGAGAGTATCATCTATTACAAAGGTTAAACTCCCTTTCTTCGCGCATGATGCTTTCATAACAACATCAGCAAATATCAGTAACACTACCAGCGGATAAATCCGCCCCAACATTTTTAAACTAATTAATTGACTGATCCGTTGCAATGAAAGACGGACACTGCGATATACCTAATTACTGAACTGTAATATATACTACCAATAGGTACTGTGTCATAAATATTTCCCCAAAACATAATTATTTTCCTTTTTAACCGACTTAAAAAAAAGAGGTTCTCAGTTTGACCTGTCTCGCGATTGGTTGAACCGATTTTGATGCGGTTTTCAGAAAAGTGTTTAATACACTTATCAGAAAGTTTTAGCTTTCTAAGCGTAGTTTAAAAAACTATATACCATTCGTAATTGACCGCACCTTGATTCATTTTAACAATGCAAAATGTTACGTACTGAATATGACGAAAATAAATGCATTTACCACTGTTAGAAGTAGTGTTATTTTTTTTTATATAATAGGGTAGTTAAATGGTTAGATGGGGTGTGAAAATTAATAAAAACAAAACCGATTTTGTTTGTTATTATGTTTTTGTTTTTGAAGTCGGTTATTTAAACGCAATTTGGTTTTTATTCTCTTGCTTTTTTAGTACAAGGCTCTATAGTCTCAGTGTACTATGTATATCCCACATGGGTATAAAGTTCTCATCATAACATATTATTCAAGGTTAAACATCAGGTATACGATTAATAGTAGCTACTAATCGTTTAGGAGTTCCCTTGGCTATCATACTTCCATCAGGCCCTTAATGACGATCACACCCCGTTTAGGCGTAAAGTTCTCATCAAAACAAATACATATAGCCCAAACACCAAGTAGCTACTGTCAGCCGTTGAGGAGTTTCCATAGCTATCATACTCCTTCATCGTCAGGCCCCCAATAACGATCACACCCCATTTAGGTTTAAATTTTTCAGCAATACAAATTAATCAAGCCCAAACATCCGGTAGCTAATGTTAACCGTTGAGTAGTTCCCTTAGCTATCATTTCATCATCAGGCTAGATGTTAAGATCTTCTCAATACAAATAATTTAAGCCCAAATACGGGGTCATTGCTACAAATCCTCAAGGAGTTCCATCGACTGTTTCTTGACTCCATCAGATCAACTCCACCACCTTCATGAAATGATAGTAGTTTTAAATACTATATAAAAATAACAAACGCTCTTGACGCCCATACCATTTTGATAAGTTACTCTCGGTTTCCATGGAATCCCATCATCAGATCCTGACCTGGTGGAGAGTATGACCATTCGAACAAAACTTTTTTTGAATTATACATCAATTTAATCATCAAAATCCATCCACAAAAGCCGGAGTAATCCGGTAATATACACACAAAAATACAAATATGCAGCCGAATTGATAACCTCTTCCTTTTTGGGAAGTTAGTTAAAAATCGGATATGGTAAGCCGGAAAACGAGCAGGACTACGGATGGCTGGGGGTCTAATTGGGCCTCCAGTGACCTCATTCACACGACAAAGCATCTTTTGGCTTAATCATAACGCTAACTATTCAGTGTGTATTGGTAAACACGTATATATTTATACATTATGTATATATGTATGTATATTGTATTGTACTCGTGTGTAGGTATATATTATAATTATATTTATTTATGTATCTGTCTCTGAAATATACAAGTTTATCTCCATTTTGTCAGATACAATCATTGCTTGCTTCTTGCACCTACCGATTACTCTTCTCTGCAACACCCATAGGTCAGACTGGAAGAAAATGCCTGCGGCATTAAGTCCAGCAGCTTCGGCACGAAGTCTTCTGAAGGCAATGTCTTCTTGACAAGGCATGCATCATAAGGAGGTTCCTGTCTAAACTACAGAGCTTGAACCATGCTCCTGTTACTGGTCGACCTCTATTTTTATTTTTTTTATTATTTATTTTTTCAAAGTGTTTTAAATACCTAAACATACCTAATTAAAAATAATACCTATTCATTTTCAATTTTATATACATTTATATATAAAATTTGTATATATAATTGTATATAAAATTGAAAATGAATAGGTATTATTTTTGTTGTGGTCTGGGTTTCCTAATTAAAATATTCCATTATGTATTTTTGTATACGCATATCTATTATCTATATTTAAATATGACATACACGATGAACTATTAACTAATTTATTTTGTTAATAAAATCTTCCTATTACACATTATTATTTCAAGTAATGGAGTATCAAATATTTCCTGTATATGTACAAACTTCACATCACGTCCAATCAACGGTCTCTAAGTACCCACTGCTGAGCAAAGGGCTCCTATCACACGAAGAAGGTTCAAGCATTAATCACTACGGTAGCTCAAAGCGGGTTGGCAATTTCCATCTTATTAAGAGAAATTACGAGTTCAGGTTTCCTCGAGATGTTTTCTTTCACTGTATGTTACCGGTGTCTAGAAATAACTTCAGAAACTATACGAGCCTGTTAGTATTGTACTGTATAACTTATTTTATAAAATACCTCTTTGGTCAATTAGCAACAAACATGACTGTAAAGTTCCAGATAAACCCGACACGGAACACCGAAGTATCATTAGAATTTCGATCCATCAGAAATTCTCAATTTGAATGTGCTGCTATTATTAAATACTTAAAATAATGAAAACGAATACAATATTTGAATCATTTAATGAAAATGTATCAATCTCATTTACTTCAATATTGGTTTTTGATCGATGAAACCTCTTTTAAAGATGTTATTCTTGAAATCGCATCTTGATTGAACGTCTTATGTTCCAAAGTTACCAGGATTTGTCTTCGGATTTGTAACTTGAATTAAACTAGAAGAAACAAAATAGTTATTATGACAATAATATGCAATGAAGCGGTATTGAAATGATAATTTAATGAAATTACGTATACATTCGTGTCTGTAAAACCAGATAACATTATAAGTACTCAACAAACTCAGAGGTCCGATAAAGTAAAATAAATTAGGAGAACCGTGGAAGTATAAAATACCACTATTTTCAGTGGCCTTTTGGAAAAAGAACCGCTGAAATTTGAGAGCACCTTTCTTATAGTAGGGGAGCCCACGACACTAAATTTGGATTTACTCGAGTGTCATAAGAAACTAGAGGAATTTGAAGATAATAATATGCTAATAGAAAAAAACATGGTTTAGTGACAATTTCTTTCACAGGGAAGAGGGTATATCATAGATTCTTGAAATTGTCACGCATAACATTTGTTCTAGTGGTCGAGCGTGTCAGATATTGATAGTACAGCTCCATGTCTTTGATGATTAAAAACTCGTAATTTGCCAGTTTGCATGCTTTGGTTATATATTCTGTAGGGTACAAACGAGAACCCTTTAAAATCCCCTCACTCTTGCAAATCGAGTTCGAATGGCCAGACTTTTTATACCCACCTTTAGCATGCTATCAACCCCTCTTTCCCTAATCTGATAAAACTGACTTCATTTATTCAAATTTTTTTATTATTATTTATGCTCCCCTAATTATTAAGTCGGGTATATGGTGAGTATATTCGAATTGACAATAGGTGTTCCCCATATGTATCTGACGCGCTCAAATAACCACCGAAATCCCTTCATGGGGTCCCCTACTATATTTTCTAAAATGTTTTAATAACTCCGAAACTTACTTTCGAAATCCTCTTTCTCTAAGTCCAATTCCACAAGAAAGTCTAGAAAATCACAGGCGTAGGTGTACTTAGTTAGCACTGGACTTGAATCATATATCACTAATGACTCCAGATCTATGGTGGTACATAATATATCCTTTTCTGTAGGTGTTGGACTGTTGACACGAATAATTGCCATTGGATCAAATTCTTCTGCTTCGGATTTCACTACCTAGGAATAATGAGAACATTTTTATATATCTTTAATAAATCAAAGGTGATTGTGTTAATAAACATCATACCATCGATAGTACCATCGAGTTACCGAAGCCCTGGCTCGTAGCAGGAACGAGAACGGGGTGGTTTTTAGTCAGGAATGGGAGAAACCGGGATGGCGCGTATGATGTCGCGGGTAGAAACTAAGTAGTTTTTCCCGTGGGAGAGCCATGCTTCGGCACGAATGGGCCGGCTCGACCGGAGTAATACCACGGCCTCACAGAAAACCGGTGTGAAACAGCGCTTGCGCTGTGTTTCACCGAGTGAGTGAGGGTACCGGAGGCCCAACCCCCCCCCCCCCATAATGTCGCAGTTGATTCAAGAGTTTCTACCCCAGGAGGGTACCAACTGCGTTGGAGAATCCCTCTCTGGACGTCCATTTTCAGAACTCAACTACCCTGAGCGTGGACGTCCAGGCCGCCCCACATCGTACTCTGGGGGGGGCAAAACTGCGCATCATAAAGCTGGAGGCAAGAGCAGAATAACCATGGCACCCCTTGCCACGCTGAATGTGGACTTCTGCAACATAAGGGGATTACACACCAACCTCAATGCTGTCCATCACCACCTAGAGACAGCAAAGCCGGCCTTGCTCTTTTTGACTGAGACGCAGATATCGTCTCCGTTGGACACATCCTACCTCACCTACCCTGGGTATGGACTGGAACATTCCTTCCTGCCTAGGGCCGGGGTGTGCGTGTACATCAGGGACGATATCAGCTCACGTCGCCTCAGTAATCTTGAAGGTAGGGACCTGTCCACCTTATGGCTGCGTGTAGATAACGACGACCACCCCCGTGTCTACGCGTGCCTATATAGGTCCCATAGCGGTGATAGCGAGACTGACCGACTCATGGACCACATCCAGACGGCTGTAGATCTTGTGCAGGGGCAGATATCCTCAGCGGAAGTGGTCTTGCTTGGCGACTTCAACGCCCATCACGCCGACTGGCTCTGCTCCAGTAAGACTGACCACGCGGGGAGATCTGTCCACGACTTGGCTCTTGCTTCTGGCCTAACACAACTGGTGACCGTGCCCACGCGAATCCCGGATGTGGAAGGCCAGAGGTCTTCACTGTTGGACCTTCTGCTGACCTCTCACCCGGACGGCTACAGCGTATCCGTCGAAGCCCCTCTTGGCTCATCGGATCATTGCCTTGTCCGGAGCTCTGTATCTTGGACGTGCACACCGCGACTACAAGAGGTACGCGGTCGCCGTGTATGGCACTATAGGTCGGCAGATTGGGATGGGATGCGGTCCTTTTTTGCATCCTACCCTTGGAGGCGGGCTTGCTTCTTGCAGGATGATCCCAACGCCGCTGCCAATTCTGTTGCTGATGTGGTGCTGCAGGGGATGGAGCTTTTCGTCCCATCTTCTCTGGTCCCCGTCGGTGGCAGATATCGGCCCTGGTTTGATGCTTCTACCAGAAAGGCCTCACGCAGAAAGCAGGAGGCCTACCAAGCCTGGGTCGATGCGGCGGTGGCACGGGATGTAAATACCAGTGCACTAAAAAAGGAGTATAACTTTGCCTCCAAGTCCTTCAAAAGAGCTATTGCGGGTGCCAAGTCGCAGCACATCGGTAGAATTGGTGAGAGGCTGGAGCGCCTTCCTTCAGGAACTCGTTCATTCTGGTCGCTCGCCAAAGCTATCGAGGGCAATTTCTGCAGGCCGTCATTTCCACCTCTGCACATGGGTGAGGATTCGTTGGCTCATAACGCAAGGGATAAGGCTCAACTTTTGGCAAAAATCTTTGCATCCAACTCGACACTGGATGACGGTGGGCGCGAGCCTCCTGTTGTGCCTTGGTGCGGAAGGTATATGCCGGATGTGCGGTTCCACCAGCGCACGGTACGTTTGGCGCTTTTATCCCTTGACGTCCATAAGTCGAGCGGGCCTGATGGGATCCCACCCATTGTTTTGAAGATGTGCGCCCCCGAGTTGGCCCCAGTTCTCACACGTCTTTTTCGGCTCTCTTATTCCTCAGGCGTAGTTCCGACGTCCTGGAAGACAGCTTTAGTCCACCCAATCCCTAAAAAAGGTGATCGATCTAACCCGTCTAACTACAGACCGATAGCCATAACTTCCCTCTTCTCGAAAATAATGGAGTCCATTATTAACTGCCAGCTCCTGCGTTACTTAGAGGATCATCAGCTGCTCAGTGACCAGCAATACGGTTTTCGTAAAGGTCGGTCTGCTGGTGATCTCCTTGTTTACCTAACGCATCGGTGGGCACAGGCGATCGAGTCTAAGGGGGAAGCGTTGGCAGTAAGTTTAGACGTGGCGAAGGCCTTCGATCGGGTTTGGCATAGAGCGCTTCTTTCGAAGCTTCCTTCCTACGGACTTCCCGAGAAATTATGCAAATGGGTCTCCTACTTCCTTGCAGACAGAAGCATTAAAGTCGTCGTCGACGGTGAATGCTCTGACTTGATGTCTGTAAATGCAGGCGTCCCTCAAGGCTGCGTGCTATCGCCTACATTGTTCCTCCTCCATATCAATGACATGCTGCAAATCAGCGGCATTCATTGTTATGCGGATGACAGCACAGGCGATGCCTACTACACCGGCCGCGCTAACATTTCTCGGGAAAACGTCATAGAGAGCCGAAACAGACTCGTGTCTGAAATCGAGACCTCTTTAGGGAGAATCTCTGATTGGGGTGGACTTAATTTGGTCCAATTTAACCCCACTAAGACACAAGTCTGCGTGTTTACCGCTAAGAAACTGCCGTTGGTCGTCTCTCCTCAGTTTCAAAGCACCCCCCTAACTGCCTCAGCCGGTATTGGAATACTTGGTGTCAATATTTCGAGCGACGTCCAGTTTTGCGGTCATTTAGAGGATAAGGCCAAATTAGCCTCGAGGAAGCTTGGTGTGCTCAATAGATCGAGGCAGTATTTCACCCCGACCCACCGCCTGCTTCTATATAAGGCACAGGTGCGGCCCCACATGGAATACTGTTCTCATCTTTGGGCGGGGGCACCCCAGTACCAGCTTCTTCCTCTGGACCGCATTCAGCGGCGTGCCGTTCGGATTGTTGGATGTCCGGATGTTTCAAACCGGCTCGACACTTTGGCAATGCGTAGAGATGTAGCTTCATTGTGCATTTTCTACCGCTTATACCACGGGGAGTGCTCTGAGGAATTGTTTGACCTGATACCTGCCGCATCTTTTCGCCATCGACCCTCACGACAGCATATGCATCCCCATCATATAGATGGTTGGCAGGCCACAACTGTGCGGTTCTCACGTAGCTTCCTGCCTCGCACAGCAAAACTGTGGAATGATCTGTCGTCGGCGGTATTTCCGAACCGATACGACCTTCAAACCTTCAAGAGAAGAGCGTACTCCTTTTTAAAGGGCCGGCAACGCACCTGTGACTCCTCTGGTGTTGCGGGTGTCCATGGGCGGCGCTGATCGCTTACCATCAGGTGATCCGTCTGCTCGTTTGCCTCCTATTCCATAAAAAAAAAAAAAAAAGTAGTAATATAATAATTAATAGACTTGCCTTATATAAGTACCGTGGTATGGATACTCCATTTATGTCTTCGAAGGTATGCGCACCAGTCCAGACATATATACTGTTGCCGGATATAACATTTTCCAATATACGATCTACGTCTTCCCAAGTGGCTTCCTAGAAAGTAGTGGTCGGATTAGAATGCAGTTTGTTATATTCTATGGGATACATACGAAATTCACTGCAAATTGTGTTACTAACGTCATATACAACAACTTTTGTTCCACAAGTCTTTAGTCAGAAAACGCTTTAAATCTTACGCAGTATTATAGTGCCTTCAATCACATATTTAAATAGAAAAATTAGAACATTGTTTCGGATGCTACTATGCTACGTCTGGCCTGTCGTTACGAAGCATGGACCTTAAAAAATGACACCATTAGACGCATAAAGACGTATGAATTGTGGTGTTATAGTTGCGCCGGATGTTATGCATAAGTTGGACGCAAAATGTTAGGAACGATACGGTGCTCGAGCGCGTCCACATGCCACGCAAAATGAACCCTAACCTTCAAAAAGAGCAAGATTGAATATCTCGGTTACGTACTGAGATATGATAGATACATGCTGCTTCATCTTATAATAATGGGTAAGACAGAAGGGAAAAGAAGCGCTAGGCGAAGAAAAAAGTCGTCGCTGCGCAATATTCGGGATTGAACCGGTATTAAGTCTGTGGAACAACTTTTCTTCCTGGCCAATGACAAGGACCAATTCAAAAAGCTGACGCCACATCTTCAGGAATAAAGTGGCACCATAAGAAGAAGAAGAAGAAGAAGAAGAAAATTGTTTGGTGGGTATGATTCGATGAAAAAGAATTTCTGCCTGAAGCCATTTTTCCATAGCGACGAATTCACAGGCAAAAAGCATAATTATCATTAATAAATCACATTAGCAGTGAAGAATGGAATCCGCCACATGGTGCGCTGCAGCCAGACATCCAGCAATACGTCAAAATCTCTTCAACTTTATAATGCTATAATCATAACCGTTGATCTTATCTTACCTGACTGCTATTTGCACAATTTCGCCAAGAAGGGACCACATTCAGAAAGTCGATGAAAGCAGCTTTCTTCGCTAACCCGTGTATGAAGTACCGTGGATTCGCCATATAAGTTTTTTCGTAACAACATGTTTCATTATCATGTTGACATGTAAACCCTCTATTAATATTTACATTTCCAATTCCTGGATGTACCAACCAATCATTGGAAGGCGCTAAAAGTCGGGGTTCATCGTCAATTGTAGTTATTTTTTGGATTGTACGTAGTGGCATATTTTTATGGGGGTCAAAACAGACTGAATATATTTCTACAAACTGGCCCACATCATAACCGACTTTTATAAGTTCCGCAGTTTTTGTTATGCATTCTTTTTTCATTTTCTTGATTGTGGGCATAAATTTATTTTTACAAAGCAAATCGTCAACCCTTTGTGTTTTATTTCCTACTAAGAACAAGTCTTGGTGATCACAAAACGAAACCAGTTCATTTTTGTTAGGGAACTTCTGAAAATAATTTGTAGTGTGATTGTCGCTGGGACAATATAACAAGATTTCTTCATTTTTATCTAGAAGCATATCATAATGTGTTGCTACCCATGATCCTGGCAATGTCAAATTTGTTGTTAACATGAGCGGAATGTTTTCGTCTTCCAATGATCTCCTTATGAAGCATACTGTAAAAGACAAATATAATTTCAAAGAAACATACAGTTTAGTGCTACAATAAAATTATATCGATATTTAATTTAGAACTGAATCGGGCCTATGTAGACCCATATAGAGCCCGCGAAAATTGCGTATTTATTTGGAAATCTGAAGAGAAAAGTAATTCTTGAACATTCCACTTTTCAATAACAAATGAAGTTCAAGAAACAAACAGCCAAATACATCATCACCATGTATGTTAAATATAAAAAAAATAATAAAACGGCTCCAAAGAATTTCTTGAAATTATGTTTTTATGGAGTTTCTGTGGAGATAAATCAATTTAGCTAGGTTTTATTTACGGATAATGTCGTTTACTAAAAAGCAACATCGGTCATCTAAATATTTAACATATAAAAATAAGGTACAGAAACTTACTTATAGTCGAGTTGACATGAAAACTCCTCTCTACCGATCCATGTACGTTTGACACTGTGCACTTGTAATGTCCCCATTTAGCTGTAGCACCCCCTTGCAATATATCCTTCTCCGTTATAACTTTGCCGTTGAACTCCCAAACGACCTAAAATAACATGTTTAATAACATCTAAAGGAAATAATATTGCGGTCCTACGTCATTATTCAAGTTTATAAAGTGGACCTAGAATGAAACCTAATGTCATGTGTGTTCAGCTAACTAAAAGATGGCACAATGATAATAAGATTTAAATGGAAATAGTCGACGTTTATAGCACTTCATTATTAGGTATGTTAAATACTACAATATGTTAAATAACAATAAAATGCTGCAATTAGAGCGTATGGTAAACCGATACACGGGAAGGTCAGGGAAGGTACTGATGAATATCTTAATGTAGTTTAATTTATAAAAGGTACTGGTTGTGGAGTAAATACACACAGGTATAATATACACACATATGTGTGTTTAGGAAATAATCAGAAAAAAGCCGCTTTCGTATCTCACTTTCCTATACTATATGACAAAACACCGGCTTCACACGAGTGCAATAATATGTATTTATTATACATATGAACCATCCAAGAATCACTCTATCTATTAAAAAACACCGTCAAACGTTGGCCACTCAAATATAAAAAAAAGTTGTAAGGTTAAATATATATAATATGTATATTCGTTCTTCGATTAAATATTACAGGAATAAAATGATATATAGGCTATATATTGGGGTGATTGTGTCTTTGATTAATAGTACAAGGTGTAGTTTTGAAGCCGTGTCATTTCTCGGGGGCATGCCGCAAAAGTCCTAAAGGTTCAATGTAAGAGTAAATTTCGGGCCAAAAATACGGCTATAATAAAGCGTTTAAGTTGGACAGTATTTTAGAAAAAGCGACAGCAATGCTTCTTATTAGAGTTTTATGGAATTAGGAATAATATCAATAACGTGTTTGAGTTTGTGTGTGTTAAGCCGCGTTATAAAGCTAGTTACAAGACGGCGGCGTGTAGTTCACTTACGGATTTCCGTAACTTACAGAAAAATGAAAAATATTTACCTACAATTTATTTATTGATTCGGACTTAGAATCAACAGCCGATTTACCTCCTAGAAAATGACGTGGCTTTAAAACAACACCTCTTATATAATTAAGAGCGTCCTTTGCAAGCGCAGCGTAAACAACTTTTGAGAGGGAAAAAATCATTAAATGACTTGGGTGAGTCGAGAGAGACAGTGTGTAAGACTTATTAACTAATAACCCCCCAGATCCTACTACTACTACATTGAATGAGAGCCCCGGTAAACCACTAAGTCATCTGCAGCTCCAGATCGGGCATCAGTCCTATTGGATGGCATCTTTGGTAGCATCTTTGATGCTCGCGCAAAATGAAATCATGTTTCATTAGTTGTCGTATTATGTAAATAAGTCTTATATAAAATAGAGTAGACCCCCATAATAGTTATCTAAGCTTCATTTTGGAAATAAAACGATAACTTTAATATTATAAAAAGTACAAAATATAATAAGAAATGCAGTACTTACTTCGGCTTGTGGTTTTGCATAGCTGTCACAGTTGTATATGATACTCTTTAACGTACCACGCCATCTACTTGTCAAATGTGTCGATGCTTCGTACAATGTAGGAGGGTAGCCGACATCCACTATATACTTATGTGTAAATGTACGTCCATGTCTGTCGTTGACCCTACACGTATAGTTTCCATCGGAAGCTAAATTGGCATTTACTACTTCATAGTATGGTTTCTTTTTGTCACTTACTTCTACATCTTCCTGTAAATATAATACTTCTTTATGTGAACTCTTTTGATGACTGTTGATGAAGCGAGAGGTATGTAGGAATCGTAGTAATTGGCGTTCCCTAGTCTCTGCCTACCCCCATCGGAGACAGGCGTGAAGTTATGTATGTATGTATGGGAACTTGCATACAAATACACTGTAATATCAGTTTTAGCTGAGCACTGGCCTTTTTGTACCGTGTACATTATCTCTGTTTATTTTATTTAACTATTTTTCTTTGTGTAATGAAAAAGTTTTCGTTGAGCCCATATTTACACTTAGGTACAAAAAAAAACTAGTCGCTGGCGTTCTTTTTTTCACTTTATCAAACCCTCTTTATATTTTAAACATATATTCCTTTGACTATAAAACATTTTAAAGGTTACTAAATTGCCGTCTAAATGACATACGTTACCAAATTAATAAAATACTGGCATCTGCAAATATTCCCAAAAATATAAAGCCTCTTCTCACATGGAGAAGGTTTGAGCATTAATCACCACGCTTCCTCAATGCGGGTTGGCGATTACAAACTTGTAATTAGAAATTATAAGCCCAGGTTTCCTCATGATGTTTTCCTTGATCGTTTGTCAGTGGTCTAAATAATCTTAGAAAGTACATATAACTCGGAAAAGTCACATTGGTATTTGCCGTTGGTAGGTTCCGCACCCGCACCCTCGTGCATGAGAAGCGGGCGTCTTCAACCTCCTGGCCACCACGATATACAAAGAAAATATTTAACAAGGAATGAAAAATTGAAAACGGTAGAAGCTCCGATTCGTTGCTCCCAAGAATAGTTTGTAATTTTATTAACATTAATTTTCATTGTACTTTCTAGGTCGACTATCGCCTTAGTACCATTTGGTTCATGGCACTGATGGCTATGCTTCAGTATCACATCACTTGAATGAAGAAGTAAAACTGAAAAGCTACTTACAATAAACCATCTGACTAATCCAGAAGAATTGTAGCCCTCACAATATAACTTTCTGGTTTCTCCAACCAACAAATAAATGTATTGACTTTCTATAGTGATGTCGCTGATGAATTCTGCAGTGGGAAAGAAACACACCTTCATTTTAACTTCTGGTTAGTTGCTTGGTACAATCAGTGGTTAATTTGACATATCTTCCATATAAAATGTATATGTAATTTGAGCTAATTGAAACTAAATAAATGACTGCCTCGCTGGCCGAGTGTTCGCAAATGCGACTGCCGGCTAAGAGGTCTCGGGTTCGATTCCCGGGTCGGGCAAAATATTACTGGGTTTTAAAAATCCCAGTAGTAGCATGGAATCTGGAATTGTGCCCGGTATATGACAATAGGCTCACCCCCAATTACATGGGACTTATAAATAGTGAAAAGGTGTTACATTGTACAGTGGCATAATGTGCACCTCTGCCTACCCCTTCGGGGATAAAAGGCGTGATGTTATGCATTAAGTCCCCTTACACACTAGCTGTTGACTTAGGTAGTTCGTATTGTATTGTCTAACACGGTTGTCATGGCGGCGGTTGTATCGCGATAGCATATTCATTTGGAAAAGCGGCCAACCACGGAAGGCGGCTAGCTATGCGATTGACTGGTAGTACGTATGGGGGATTGGGGAGACATACACAAGTTATACTCACCTTTAACTCTTGTTTTAAAAGTCGCAATGTCTGATCCTATATGGTTTTTAGCTACACAGGTATACGATAGGGAATCATTTTGTGTTAGATTTTTTATTACAAGAGATCCATCTTCTATAGAATATTTGTCATCTGTGAAACATCAAGCAACTTATAATATTATCACACATTTTTAATATTAAACTAGAAACTAACAAATTTGATGGCCTCGTTGACCGAGTGGTCGTAAGTGCGACTGTCGGGCTCGGGCTCGATTTCCGGGTCGGGCAAAGTATTACTGGTTTGTTTTGATTCTCAGTAGTAGCACGGAGTCTGGTATTGTGCCCGGTATATAGCAATTGGGTCACCCCCACATGGGACTCATAACATAAATAGTGAAAAGTGGATGTTATATTGTACAGTGGCATAAAGTGCACCTCTGCCTACCCCTTCGGCGATAAAACGCGTGATGTTATGATTAACAAAAATTAAGTTTGCTATCTTTTACTTACTGGGTTTTATTTCAATTCCTCCTACTTTCCAAGTGTTGACTGGTTTTGGATTACCGTGAGCTTCGCATGGTATCCTCAATGCAAGATCCCCTTTGAATCCAATATAATCTGTAGAAGATTTTAAAACGATCTTCGGTGGATCTGTTGATATAAAAAGATACGGTTTTCTCACGAAACTGGTTGGCTAGATGACTCGACTAGTTTTAAGACACGCTAGAAGCTCGTATTTATTGGCTGCACGACGGCGCAATGCTACTCATCAATATAAGTCCCTAGCGTACGTGGTTCTAAACAGGTCAAGTTATCTCGCCAAACAAACCAATACTAAACACAAGAGTGAAACTACAGAGACAAAACAGAAACATGAAATCTAAACGGTGAATTTTTTTTCATAATTATAATCTTTCTTTTTTTCATTTTTGTGTGGATCGAACACATATAGAAAGACCATGTGTTTAAAGAGACATCCGACATCAAGGATTTTAGACCATCTCCTTTATCACTGGTTTCCTGCCTAGATAACTACTGCCTTCGAATATCCTTATCCTTATATACTATTATAAATGGGAAAGTGAGTTTGTTTGTTTGTTCTGCTTTCACGCCGTAACTTCTAAACCGATTGCTTCGAATTTTTGCAGGCGTAAAGTTAGAAGTCCGGAATAAATAATAGGGTACTTTTATCCCGGAAAATTTTGATATTCCCGAGGGAAAACAAAAGAATTGGTATAGATTGCGCTGTATGTATTGGTATATGTCACATAGGCTACTTTTATCCTTTTGTGACGCGAGCGAAGCCGCTGGTAAAAGCTAGTTTAAATATAATTTTTCGAATAACAAAATCGATATGGAAAATTTGGTTTCATACAATACGGAACTTTCCTCTCAGCAACACAGACTTTCACTCAAACAGATAGTAGAACATAACATCAATTTACAATCTATGAAACTAAATACTCACATTCGACAATAATCTCAGTAACATGTTTGTCAATACCAGCTTCATTCTGTGCAATACATTTGTAGAAGCCTGCATTTTCTTGAGATACATTTGATAGGCGCAGGACATTGCCAGATGCATCTATAGATTTGAACTCTGAACTGGAAATATCCTTAAACTGCCAAGTGAAGTGAAGAGGGGTGCCTTTAATGATTCTAAAATTGAAGAGTCCTATTAAATTTCACTTCGGTATGATTTATTTAATGTGATTGTATTTGTTTAAACGCTTCCTTCTTAATAGCTGAAGAAGTTTGTACAAGTTTATTATCTATGTGTCAAATAGGACGCCTAATTACCCCTTTCCCCAATCTCCCAAATACCTGAATCCCAATGATCCTCAAGTTCCTAATCCCCAAAGGGCCGGTAACGCACTTGTAACGCCTCTGGTGTTCCAGGTGTCCATGGGTGACGTCGATTGCTTAACATCAGGTAATGCGTCTGCTCGTTTACCGGCTTATACCATCAAAGAAAAATTAAACTGTCAATCACCAAGCGGTCACCGGTGACCGCAACCTATTGTTCTATAATTGTGTCTATAATGACGGTACTCGAAGAGTTAAGCTAACGGCAACTTTGAGATAATTTCCAAAATTGATTAAATTTTCAGTTCTTTATGCGGTCCACAAATTACTTATCGTCATGAGTCTGGGTGTGGTGTGTTCAAAAAAATAATCAAATTAAGTAAACACATAATATCAATGACGGCGGTCCTAGCCAAATTACAATACTACAAACGATATCGTTATTAGAATAGTCTGATATGCATAAGGGAATGACATAACGTGGATGTGGTCAAATTCGTAGCCAAGTAACACAATTATTCATCCCATTATATTGATGGAAGTGGTGTGGAATTTATATTTAGAAAGGAAATTAAACTTACTTGCAAGTTATAATCACGTTAGAACCAATTACAGCCTTTTTCTCTTTTTCTCCTGTTATATTAGGTGCCACTGAAAGGTATTAATATTGTTAAAATATTGTATAAACGTGGTACGGATCGACTATGTACTATAATTACTTTGTCCAATAATATATAGTTTTTAGTTTCATTATACTCGAGAAGCTGCAGTGCGATTCTATAGAACACTTAACTTTAAAAAAATATTACCTACGAAAGTCACTTGAATTTGGTTCCGTACAGTGAAACTATTAATAAGAAGTTTTACGTCTTATTTCGGTTCGATAGTTCGTTCGCTACGCAACTGGTTCAAGTGTGTTTACTTTTGTAATACCTAGTTCTTTCGAGATTCGAATCAAATCTCTGTGTAACAGAAGTGCTATGCTAAACTCGGAACTTTATGTTTTTAACAATTTTAAATCACGCTTGATTATAAAGGTGCAATATTTTTTTATTTATTAATTCTTATCATCATTATCATTTAATTTATCATATGCTAGGGACCCTACGACTACTTGCGCACAGGTGCAATATGCATGTATTATATCTACATACATATAAACTTTCCTTAAGAATCACTCTATCTATTAAAAAACTGCATCAAAATCCGTTGCGCAGTTTTAAAGATATAAGCATACATAGGGACAGACAGATGGCGGATAGCGACTTTGTTTTATAAAATGTAGTGATAATGATTGGCCGACGTTTGACCACTATCTCGCCTGGGGTGGTAAGCGATGATGCGTTCTACGATGGATCACGTAGTCCCATAAGCAACATATTCAACTCGGGCCTTGAAGACTTGTCTTTTAATCTTCTTTTTCTTTAAACTTATCTACTTACCCAATATAATCCCAACTTTTTGAGTATACACAACGGAACATGCATATCTTCCCACCATAGTGTAATGCATATGCCTAATCTTCAGTTCTCTACCATTTTTAGAAATATCATAATAGTTTGACGGCTTTATTTCTTTTATCTGTCCTGCAGTATCAATGTAATGCCAATGAATAATGGAATTTGATACAGATCGAATAGGGCATATTATGGCACCTTCTGAGTCGTATATTACACTTTTTGTATCTGAAACATTGATAAAATAAAAATGTAGTCTTTAGTCGGATAGTTGTATCTATTTACTATATTTCTTATTACTTACATTTTTGTTTTTTATCATAATATTAAGTGAGTTTAAGCAAATATAAGAGCATTTTATACCTGCATCGTGTCTTCCATCTAAAAGTTCTTCAATTAAAGAATAAGAGCTATTATTACTGCATGCACTTTGCGTAATTTCTTCTCCTAATATAGTACAAATATTAAATAATATCAAAATGAGCACTTGTCTCAACATTTTTAACTGAATTTAAGAACGGGGGAGTTTTAATTATTGCACAAATCAACATTACATTCTAGACTCATACTAAAGTTTTTAGCAAGATTAATCGTACTTTATATACGCATTTTGAATTATTTGTCCTGTAGATAAGGAGTTTATTTTTATCTAATTAAAAACTTACGGTTTTACCCGTGTAACGTTAAAAAATATACCGATATGCTATCTATACATACATATAATAAAATCGTAGGAAAGTGAAAACGGTAAATTGAATATTTTTTTAAATAATATTTGGGTCACAATCAACAATCGATATCGATGCCAAAAATATTATTTTCAGAAATTTTGTTTTTTGTCTGTATGTATGTACGGGCTAAACTCAAAAAGTCCCGCCTCACCCAGGCGGGAGCAGTCATTCGATGATTTTCCACCCGTAAAAAAAAAACTCAAAAAGTACTGCACGGATTTACTTCATGCATGAATATTGCTAAAAGGTCGAGTCAACATTTAAGCTACATATTATTAAGCCGTCATTAACGGAGAGGAGCTGTGAATCACTATTCCAATTGGACGAAGTCGCGGGTAAAACTAGTGCTTAATATAGCTTATGTTTCTTTTAGAGGTTAGTAGGTACTAATTGTTGTTGTTTCATTTTTGATGCAATTCTATAAGTTTGAAGTTCTTATGATGCGATAAGACAGTAATTTCGGGTTCAAATGCATTTTTTAAACGTCGCTCTACGATGGAAATGTCTCCTATGTCGTGGATAGACATACCTACAAGTTCACATATACTCAGCCGGTTGCCCAGTTACCATGCCAACCGTGCAGCCAACGTGGTAGGCATGTAAACTATGTATATTGTTCTTTAAACGTAAAAATCCTATATTAGACCATTGCCATTATGCTGTCATAGATACATCGACCACAATTTATTATTCACATATTCTGATTCGGGAAAACCACAACAGTTAACAGTACATTTATGTAACCACATAGTTGTAGTTATAACATATACATAAGTTATGTTTATCTACATCTCGACTAGTTGAATAAATAGGAAAGATTTGATTTTTTTGTTTATTTGTTTGTTTGAATGAATGGAATCTCCTCCGAAACTACCAGGCCGATTTGAAAAATTCTATTATTGTTGGAATCCTACATTATCGATGATGAACACAGCTTATAATTAATAAGAGATAAAAAGGGAAAACGGTGTAAAATTTTCGATAATGTAACCCGATGCGTAAAAAAACTACCTAAAATCTCCTTATAATGCTTAAGCCTCTGATTGCTAATATAAAACTGTTTTCAAGGACTAATAATAGTATTTAGCTGCATCAGAAACAGAGATTTTAAATAAAACATACGAATTCAATTAACTGAATATATTTTAATCATGGAGTAGCTTCTGAACATGGCTTTGGCTCGCACTCTTTTAAAATATTAAGGGCAGGTTTACAAAAGATAAAAAAGAATTAGTGCGCGATGTTTTCCAGGTTCTAAATACGATACTAATTTTAGGTTTCTTGAAAATTTTGAAATTCTTGGCTCGACCGGAGTGATATCACGGCCTCACAGAAAACCGACGTGAAAAAACGCTTGCGTTGTGTTTCGTCGTGTGAGTGAGGTTACCGGAGACCCAATTACCCTCCCCTTCCACAATCTCCCCAATTCCTGAATCCCCAACCACCCTCAAACTTCTAATCCCCATAAGGCCGGTAACGTACTTGTAACGCCTCTGGTGTTCCAAGTGTCCATGGGCGACGCCGATTGATTACCATCAGGTGATATAAAAAAATGCTCTTTACAAACTTCCAGCCCCTGTTTTAGGGAAGTGGTGGGTTAGAAAGAAACAAAATGTCGCCAATGCTACTTTTAATCATTTTACTATCTCCACTCAGTAAAAAAAATCACATCAATTTCTATCAAAACAAACAGTCTCAAACAAATATCACAACAGTCAAAAAATCACAAATTTTAATATTAAGTATACCATTCTTTGTTATATATTCTAATATTATAAAGAGGAACGATTTGTACCTATATCTGTATGTATGTTTGTATGTTTGTAATGAATAGGCTCAAAAAGTACTGGGCCGATTTAAAAAACTTCTATAGAATGCTACATTCTTCCAATTTGACATAGGCTACATTTCATTTTGAAAAAATTAGGTATCCTTGGTAAAATTTGAACAATGTAACCGAAGGTGTAGAAAAATGAGTCTTAAAATGTCTTTCGTCGAATGCGCTGCCGAAATTATTAGCGATAGAACAAAATAATGTACAACAATATTGAAGAACATCATAATGTCTACAAAAAACTCCACAGTAGCATATGTCCAACTATTGCAGTTATGTCACTACAACAATCCAAATTTCCGAAAATAAATAATTGTCTACCCGTGCGAAGCCGGGACGGGCTGCTAGTCTGACATAATATAGCCAAGTGAGTTTCATGCCAAAGGATTATTATTATTGACAATTTTTTTTTTATTATCCATGATATTACATTAAGATATTCAAAGAGGCTGTATACTAATTTTATTAACCACTGAACCTATTGATTGAAACTCGGTACAACGATAGTTTGAGACTCGGAAAATGACGCCTGATAGGTTTCAACCACTGTACCTATTAGATTGGAATTCTAATGGAGTTTTAATCACTAAAACCTTACGGAAATGGATACGATACGGGTAAAATACGTTGTATATTTTTTGAAATCACGAAAATAAACAAAATTTCACAATAAATGTAACTAAATTGATTCTGATGAGATATGTTACACAGCATTGCAATTAACCTTGGAGAAGACTAATAAAACGCGGGGAACATCTAGTAGGATAATAATATAGGAACACGTTATGAAACGCTGAACAGATTTGAATAAAGTTTCAATTTTCCTACAGGGTGTTTGTTTGTATCTAAATGATCTGACCACACGACTGACGCAGTAACAAAACGAATTATAAATAATGTTACGGGAAAATAAAACTGCAAAAATAAAATAAAATTTGTTTATTGTCACAAAAATTTCATAATATTACATTCACAGAAATGCGACGATTATATTATTATGGACGAGTGTGAATTATGAACGATACTGATACTGCTTTCCAAACTAAGCTATAATCTTGTATTTAACTCATTATTACTTGTGTGTGTTACATTGGATAGATTTACATTAAGGGCCCATTTCACAACTTCTGGATAACCGTTATGTACCAGATAAAAAAATTGAACAGAACGTGATATTTATTAACGTTCTAACTCTCTGGGAGATCCTAAACAAAAATCGCAAAAAATTTACGGCGTCATTCTCCTAAATCCCCAAGTACTGCTGATTATAACACAAAATTTGGTTTCAAGAAGTTAAACCGTGTCACTGTTCTCAACTAGTCCTACATATAAAAGTTATTGCGATGCTTAACAATGCGGCAGAATAAACATTTATCAAACTAAGTTAAAGTTTTTCGATGAAACAACCATTTTCCACACAAGGTTTATTGTCCACGTTGCGTCATTTAACGAATGCATGCATTCGTCAAAAACGGTAGGCGGGTTAAACTTTGCCGCTTCATGGACATATTTCGTTGTTTGTAAGCTATATATGCAAGCATTTGTCTTTTGCAGGCCGCCTATTGTTTGTGAAAGAGATAAATTCATCAAATGACGTAACGAGAACTATCTCCCACATAAGTGTATGGGGTACTCGTATGAAATAAGTGAAACAGGTCCTTTTGCACGCCACGGTCGGCTGTAGCCGACAAACAAAACATGACGTAAATTATAATTTAGTATGTAGTACGTGTAGTGTAGTTTAGTACGTGATTCATCAAAGTCAACCACAGCCGCCAAGAAAACATGATTTGGAAGTACATTTCGTTTGTCGGTTATACCCGACTGCGGTGGTCGAAAGGCTAATTGTAATGAATATAATGACACAATGATTGATAAAAAATAACGATACATAAGACCTTATTTGTGTTTTTATTGTCTACCATTAATTTAAAGCAGGGAAGGAATTTTGAACAAAATTATAAGCAAGGCTTCATTGTATTTTTACGTAAATGTTGATGCTATCATTGCCCACGTTGTTATCGGCGATGCAGAGGTAGGATCCCTCATTCTTGTAGCTCACGTTGTTCAGATGAAGCAAACTTGAGGAATTGCCCCTAGAAAGAGATAAATGATGTTTATAGGTTGTTTCTTTTAAACAACCGAGCATTAATCTAACAAATTGATACTATCTGACTTTCAAGCACTGTAATGTTAGTTTTATAATAAGTCGATAACACTATTATAGTTACTTAAAATAGTGACTTATATATTAATGTAAGATAAGACAATGGTAAAAGTTATGTTTTTTTTTATGGCATAAGCCGGTAAACGAGCAGACGGATCACCTAAGTAAGCAATTGTAATTGTATAGTGTAACAGTCGACATCATGTGATTTTTTTGAGTAGGGAAAGTCATCTAATGATTTCTCCCGCCTTGGGTGAGGCTAGAGAGAGTGTAAGACGCTTAATGACTAAAAACTACCCCGTTCCGACTCCTGCCAAGAGCCGAAGCCCCGTTAATCCCAGTAACCTTTTAGGTTGTGAGCCGCTCCGGCACATAATGTGAATAAAAATAAAAAAGAATCAGATATACCTTAACAGTATCTTGGTACTTGAGTCCGTTGCTATGAACTCCCATTTTGTGGATGGTACTGGATTACCAAATAAGACGTTGCAGGTTAGCACAAGATTACCGCCAGTTCTTGCAAGCACGGTCTTTTCCTTCGGAGCTTCTATGTATGGTGACACTGTCAATTTCAAATGACAATTGTGAGTAGTGAATAGCTAATTAATTTAAATTAAGTGATCTTGTAAGATAACAATTTGCACAAGTTCTAGTTACAATCATACAATATTATGATTAGTAAAATATTTTGACGGGTAGAAATCTAAATCAACTTATCTTTAAAACCACTCACACACTCACCAAAAACATTAACTGTAATGGTCTTCTCAGCTCTACCGATACTATTTTCTGCAATACAGTGATAATTTCCGGAGTCCTTCCACAACGCCTTGAAACTGAATGAAACATAATTCAAATTAATATTGAATGGTCCAATAAGAATACGTAACAGCGTAAAATTATAATTAGTATATCCTTCTTATACCACCCATTTCTACTAACATTATAAATATGAAAGTTTATGAAGATTATGTATTTGTTACTATTTCACGCAAAAACTACTGAACGGATACCTATGTATGTTATGAAACTTGTCAAATCACCAAAACAGGAGGGCAATACACTAATTTAATAACTAAAAAAATAAATGAGATAGAAGTACTAAGAACCCGAGATCTAAGCTATAGCGAGCTATCAGAGAGGCTTATTATATCTAGCGAACAGAATCGTGTTGAAACTACAGACAAAACTTTACACGTACCGGTGGGTATACCGATGGTCAGTGCGATGTCTACCATCCAGACTAATGATAACATCATCTTGAGACATCTCCCAGCGGACAGTGGCTGGAGGTGATGCGTCCACCTCGCATGGTAACTCCACATCGTCTTCTTCTTTCACCGTCAGAGTATGCAGATCACCATTGGATATCATTGGTGGATCTGTACGTATCAAGTTAAAATTACGATTAAATGATTTCATGGATCCCACCTGAGAAAGTCTTACTTAAGTCTGCTCAACTTGTTATCGTGTATTTCGCCATACAAATAAGACTACCAGACGCCGATACCTTTACCCCAAAGGCCGGCAACGCATTTGTTTCTGGTGTTGCGATTGTTCTGGGGGTCGTCGTCTGTTGCTTAACAGCAGGTGATCTCTTTCATCACTCTATCCCATTAAAACTCTCATTTCACCAGCAAAAAATTGTATTGTATAAAAATTAATATAGCCACTAGCAGTTTTATCGACAGACAATTCAGTATACGAGGTATAATATTGCAATTTCTTACACTGAAGTTGCACAGTAATATCAACTGAATGATGCCCTTCCACGTTGTTGGCTTCGCATCTGTACACGCCTTTATGATTGGGTTGAGCTGTTGCTATCTTCAATTTCCCACCATCAGCGACCACACCATCTGGTAATGAACTAAACTCATATCCATCTTCGGATTTAAATGTCCAAGTAATCATAGGAGATGGTTTCCCTTTCATAATTCTGTAAACATAGAAAAAAAGAATTTTTCATTTTTTATTTGAAAATGAAGTATTTTATTACCTACATCATTGATCTATCGAGCAAGGGTTAAGTATAAGACTACAATTTCTCTAATATATAGACTACTGCAGCTGTTCCTCTCGACTTTGTCTGCGTAGAATAATGACTTATGGCAGAACTTAGGTTTTCTAATAACAGCGCACGTAATATAAGGATCTTTTTGGTACATTTTTCTCAAATTATCGAAATTTTTATGCGGTTCCCTTTTTTCTCTTTTCAAATACAGCCTATGTTCATCACGAATAATGTAGAATTCCAATGTTTTGATTTGGTTCAATACTTTTGGAGCCTATTCAATACAAACAAACAAACAATCCAATTTTTCCTCTTTATAATATTACTGTAGACGATCTACAAAAATAGAGGTTTAATAAGTTATTGTGAGTCGTAAGAAAGAAATAGATTATGACAATGATTTATTGATTTTTACCTGCATTCTAGATAACTCCATTCTCCCAATTTTAGAACAACGTTTGCAGTATCTACTGCTAGTTGAGGTGCTTCTGAAAGACATAAAGTATTAACAGTATTAACAATCTTCGTACGAATTGTTTCATGGGACTTAGAGGTATTAGAGGTAGGAGATAAACGAATTGTGATAGAAAACCAATTTAAATATTTTTATTTTTTAATGTCTCGTAGGAAGTTTGAATATTACACATGTAACACCAGAGACGTTACATGTGCTTTGTTGTGGAAATATAATGATGTAAGAAATATTAGGATCGATAATAAAAAAGTAATGAAAGCTTACCTATACCAGAAATGTTCACAAAGGCTGTATATATTTTTTCATTGAACTCGTTCTTTATTTCACATTTATATTCACCGTAAGTGTTTACACTCATGTTTTTAATCCATAAAGCGTTGGTCTCCAAATCTACTTGGATTTCATCAGATGAGGTTACTTCAGTGTCATTGTGGTACCATTTAGTCTCTGCTACAGGATATGCTGAGACTTCGCAGAATAATTTTCCCTCGCCCCCGTACTCTATTGTCTGGTCTGCAATCAAAATTAAAATAACTAGAGAAAGAAAAAACTACTACTAATGAAAGGGTTATATTAAATAAGTTAGCCAAGTTTTAAGTTTCAAATCTGAACAAAATATTTTGAGTGAGATCATTACGTACCTTGAGGAGTTTGTAAGACCTCAAATGTGTATGGTCTATGTACATACAAATTTATGCTTTGAGAATCTTCGCCTTCGGGATTTTTCGATTTGCAAAAAATTGTAGAATTGACTGTGACATTTTCTATGGTGACGTAGCTTAGATACAGTGATGGTACTTCTAGTAAAATAGTCTGAAATAAGTCTTAAAATAAGTGCATAATAAGCATTAGCTTAAAAAGAGCAAAACTTCCTTTTAAAAAGCCGAGATTGCATTTGTAACAGGATTATCTCGTCAGGGGATTTGTCTTCATCATTACATCTAGAGAGGCTAAGCTCCCTTTAACTCGTCGAGTACCATCAATACAGACACAATTATAGAACAATAGGTTGCGGTCTATGGTGTTTGACAGTTTAAACAGACGTAGATGTAATTCTTGTACTAACTTTAACTAGCTACGCCTGCGCGGGTTCACTTGCTAAATCCCGATTGATCGTAGTGTGATATTACATAGATATCCCTTTTTCGACAAATGACCTAACCAACACAAAAAGTGGATTTATTTTTTTCCTTTCATTATATTATTTAACATTTACATGTTCTGGACAAAAATAATAGATCAATTCGATCCTGTTATTCCGATGATGTGCGTTCGAACATAATAACTGTTCAGCTTTACGCAGTACGAGTTTGACTCTCGTTGCTAGTTTCTTATTCCTAGTTTTTGTCACATTAACTCACCTCTGACGATAATATTTCTCCCTCGTCATTCACCCACGTAACGTTGGGGGCTGGGTAACCAGTAACTTTACATGCATATGTCGTATTAAATCCAAAGTCTATAGTTTTTGTTTCCGTATCTAATATTTGCGATTGAGGTTTTATCCACGTAGTATCCGTTACAGCAACTGCAAAGGTAGCATAAATATAATTGGTAATCTTATGACGTCATGTCAATCGATATCAAGTTAGATTTCTGGGCGTTGTAAAACATTTTTCGGTTTTCGAACATTGTCAGTGATAGATCGAAGCCTCGCATTGAGTCCGATGTTTGGTTACAATCTCATCCTGTATTACCTATATGGAACCCATAACTTAAATAGAGAAAAGTTGGTGTTACATAATCATAATACAGGGTATCCCTAAAGTCGACGATCAAATGGCGCTAGGTGATCGGCAAAGTTCCAACAGTTATAAGAATAATATAAAAAAAATCTGAGTTTTCAAATTTCAATGACATAGGTGTAATCAACGAAAAAGTACACCTAGTGCCAGTCTTTTGACTCTTGCTGCTACAATTCTTTTTTTTTCATCTGTATTAGTCCTAACGTTATCCTGAATAGCGCTCTAGTATTATGGAATTAAAAATTTTAACTGCTTTAGTTTGGAAAAGAATATCGATGTTTGATGAAAGACGATGAAAAATAAATGTGTTCTTAAAAAAATATCACCGTACTTTAAGTGACTGTACTGAAAAAATTGTACTGACATAGTAATGGCGAATATCTCCAAAGCTGGCGCATTTAATAAGGATTCTAAAATGATTTAAAAAAAAAACTTTACGTAGCATATTACAAACTTAATGATTATACAGAGAAAAAAATGCTCGGATGCAGTCAGATAGCAGACATAGAATGGTATGTCATGGAATAGCGAAGCTTGGCATGACATGGCATGGTATAGCATAGCATAGCGTAGCGTAGCATACCATAGTATTGTAAAGCATAGCGTAGAGTGGCATACCATAGTATTGTATAGCATAGCGTAGAGTGGCATAGCATGGCATAGCATGGCATAGTAAGGCATAGCATGGCATAGCATGGCATAGCATGGCATAGCATGGCATAGCATGGCATAGCATGGCATAGCATGGCATAGCATGGCATAGCATGGCATAGCATGGCATAGCATGGCATAGCATGGCATAGCATGGCATAGCATGGCACAGCATGGCGTAGCATGGCATAGCATGGCGTAGCATGGCATAGCATGGCATAGCATGGCGTAGCATGGCATAGCATGGCGTAGCATGGCATAGCATGGCATTGCATGGCATAGCATGGCGTAGCATGGCATAACATGGCATAGCATAGCATAGCATGGCATAGCATGGCATAGCATGGCATACCATGGCATAGCATGGCATAGCATGGCATATCATGGCATAGCACACCATGGCATAGCGTAGCATAGCATAACATAGCATAGCGTAGCGTAGCATAGCATAGCATGGCATGGCATAGCATGGCATGGCAAGGCATGGTATGACATGGCATGGCGTGGCATAGCATAGCATAGCGTAACGTAGCATAGCACAACACATTACAGCATGGCACAGCATATCATATCATAGCATAGCACGCCATAGCATGGCATGACGTAACGCAGCATAGCGTATGCCGTGCACCGCATGGGCCGTACAACTATGCGAGTGTATGGCCCACAGCGTTTGGGTTATTTGATTGCAGGTACGGGAACTGTGAATGCGCGTATTGTTGTGGGTGTGGGTACGGGTGCGTGTGCAGGTGCGTGTGTATCAGTTGCAGATCGTGTGGGTGTGGGTATAGTTGTGGCCGTGCTATGCCATGCCACGCCATGCCACTCCGGTAACCTCACTCACACGACGAAACAAAACGCAAGAGTTGTTTTAAGTCGGTTTTCTGTGACGCCGTGGTATCACTCCGTTTGAGCGCCGGCCCATTCGTATCGACGCATGGCTCTCCCACAAAAATTTTATCAGTACAGTCACTTTAGATAAGGTAAAAATTGTATTAAGAACACTTGATTCATAAAAAAACGACATTATTTTCCAAACTAAATCAGTTGGCTCAAAATTAATATTTCCATAGTAAGTACTAGAGCGCTATTCAGGATAACATAAACAAAAATACAGACGAAAATATAAAGAATTGTAGCAGCAAAAGTCCAAAGACTGGCACAGGGTGTACTGTTTCGTGGATTAGAGTCACCTAAGTCACTGTAATTTGAAAACTATTATGACTCAGCTTTTATTTTATACTAGCTACTTCCGCGCGGTGTCACATGCTCTGCTCAGCTCCTATTAGTCGTAGCATGATGTATTATAGCCTATAGCCATCCTTGATAAATGCGTTATCCACCACAAAAAGAATTATTCAAATCAGACTTGTAGTTCCGGAGATTAACGCGTTCAAACAAACAAACAAAAAAACAAACTCTTCCGCTTTATACAAGGTGTAGTTTTGAAGCCGTGTCATTTCTCGGGGGCATGTCACAGCAGTCACAGAGGTTCAATATAAGAGAAAATTTCGGGCCAATTGTTAAAAATACGGGTATAATACGTTGTTTAAGTTGGACAGTATTTTAGAAAAAGCGCCAGCAATGCTTGTTATTGGAGTTTTATGGAATTAGAAATAATATCAATTACATGTTTGAGTTTGTGTGTGTTAAGCCGCGTTATAAAGCTAGTTACAAGACGGCGGCGTGTAGTTCGCAATTACGGATTTCCGTAAATTACAGAAAAATGAAAAATATTTACCTACAATTTTTTTTAGTGATTCGGACTCAGAATCGAGACCCGAGTTAATTCCTAGAAAATGACGCGGCTTTAAAACAACACCTTGTATAATAGTATAAGAGTATAAGATTTGTCTGATATCTGTTGGAATCTTGTCAAACAGCTAGTGCCATTTGACAGTCGACTTTCAAGACACCTTGTATGTATGTAACTTTGCTCACCCCTTTGGGCATTAAAGGTCGTGACGATATGCTATGTTCCGCTATTGTAGGTAAATGCAAATAAATGTTTAGTATTTTCCTTATTCCTTATTATTATAGATGTGTACAAGTTAAATTATTTAGCTAGATAATTAGGTATCCATGACAAAAACCCAATTTTACAATCATGTAAATAATACTGATTAGTGCCTACTGAACTGAAGATGTAAAATATTGAAAAGGCCAATGGGTCTTGTATGTATATTTAATATTCGTAGGTGTATACTGTTTTTTTAAGGGGGGGAAATCATCGAATGACTGCCTGGGTGAGGTGGGAGGGAGTGTCAGACATTTACTGACTATAAACCACCCCGTTCCTTCTCCTGCACATCGAGCCGGAGCCCGTTAGGTTCTCCGCGACTCCGAATGGGCATCAGCCCTATTGGGCCCCATCCAGAACACGACGCGCCGTACTTGTAATTAAAATTGCTTACCTTGTTGAGGAACGAAGTTTTGCGATGAGACTACAATCTCTTTCAATGAGTCCAAGTCGTAACCTTTTATCTGAAACGACAAAAGATTAAGTTAAGTTTGTATAATTGTATAATATCTTTTTGACGTTGCTTCTTCGTGGGTTTTTCTCATAATTTATTATGTCACATTTATGTTTATACGAATTTAACCTGTAAGAAAATAGAGAACAGGAGAGCAGGAATGTAAATTGGTAGACAGGTCTGCTGTTATAAGGTTTTCTTATATGTGTGACGGTAATGTCATTGATGTTGCGTTTTGTATTCGTCTAAAATTGAATGAATTACATTTGTCATATACTGTGATGTTATATTAAAACATAATAAAAAGGTACTATGTTCTACTTCGTCATCTACTATTACCGTCATCACACGATAAACCACTATGGATTAGATACAATTTTGATATTTTAGAGTTTAATCTGTGGAGATCCCTGAGCAATTGTGGATTAATCAGGAGATAAAAAGTGTGGCAGTTAGAAACTTAATCAAACCTACCCATAAACGAAATTCTCGGTCAGAATTAACGAATGTTTCGGCTAAGTACAAGCCCGAGGGTTGTTCTTCGAACTGAAGAACTTTCTTCTCTAGTTCATTAGTCACTTGTAAATGTATGGTTTCAAGTTTCATTTTACTTTGCGAAGCGTCTATCAGAATTTTATTTGGTCTACCTGTAAAAAAAGAAATAATGTTAAGATTAGCTGATTTTTTTATGAAATAGGAAGTAAACGAGCAGACGACAGATCAGCGCCGGCCTTTTGGGATTAGGAATTTGAGGATTGGAAGTTGGGGATTCAGGGATGGGGTAAGTGGGACTCCGGTAACCTCACTCACACGACGAAATACAACGCAAGCGTTGTTTCACGTCGGTTTTCTGTAAGGCCGTGGTGGCCGTGGTGTCGCTCCGGTCGAGCCGGCCCATTCGTGCCGAACACAGAACATATAAAGAAGGCTAGAAAGGAAATAGTTCCTGATTTGTATTAGAATACGCGTCGCCGTTTGCCCCCCACTCTTTAACTTTACTACAAGCAAGAGACCAATACCTACGCGGAAAATGCACACAAATAAACAACACGCACTAGGTTAAAAGATTTGTTATTGGTCGTCACACTGACGCAATCACTTCGTTTGACATACACTAATACAGGCGTAAAAAACTCATATATGGTAGGGGGAGCGAAAGGTCGATTATTGATATCGATAAAATTAATGGCATCTAGCTTCTTAATTTACATGTATTGTGGACTATGCGGATTTGTATAAAGCATATTGTGCACATGTATTTACGTTAATGTAAATAACTATACATAGAAAAATACATAACTGATTTTTAAAATCAATTACATTATTAACATTAAAATAATTTGACATGGAATATAGTTATAAGTAAATTGTTGATTGGTAGTAATCAAAAAAGTATAAAAACCCGAAAAGGTATTATTTCGATTTTGTTTTGTTTTCAACTGTAAGTTTTATAAAAATAAAAGGAGTCTGGGAAGTCATGGGGTCAAAAATAATAGATTTTTACTTAATTCAAAATATATAAAAAATAGCGTAATTTCTCCCTAAGGAATGAAAAATCATAAAATAATGAAATATTGAGAATTATCATAACGTAACCATATCATGATATATCTAATCTGTGCTCAAAACTCTGTTATTGTCTCTGTTAGATATCATCATGACATTCGTATGATGACAACCGATAATCGTCGTTCGTATTTCTTTAATAGTTAATATAAATAGGAATTATTATATAGTTTCGGTTACATAATTTCCTTTACTGAATGTGAGTGGTGTGCAAATTAACTTAGAAAGTACGTATAAGTTGTATGAAACAGCGCCGCAACCTCCAGGCCAACACAATATTTAGCTCACGTAAATTAAGTCAGCTCTAAAAGCTCTGAAAACTAGAAAAGTCATCAAGTGTACATAGCTATTCTTAAAAAAGGTACAATACAATCGCTCCCAGGATATAATGTCATCTTATTTGTTGTCATAGCTTTGTTCTCGAATAGAAAACCTCAACAACTATTTTAAATTATTGACTAAAATTTCGGCTGGCTTTTAAGAATTTCTCATAGTTTCAACTATTTACAATTTGGGCCTAAGCATGTATGAAAGAGTATCCATCTTACGAAAAATGATTTAGATGTCCCTTAGATGATATCAAGGTAGAAATGTAAAACAAAATTTCCTAAATCATAAAATCAGTCTACTTACTGAACAAAACATAACGAATACATAAAAAATTATATAAAACTGAAATACGAATAAAATGCCTCACTTAAAACCTATTTCATAATTAGTCGTAATAAATAAAATTATTTTAGTTATAATGTGTATAATTTGATAATAATCCTTTGTATCATAGTAATTATCGACATTGTTTACAAATTGACACTTCTCTATATCGATTCGAGGAAATGACGTTTTGATTTGATACTCGGGACTCTCGTTGTGAACGTAATACATTGCGCGATCGTTTATGTAGTGCAAAACGGTACGTATCTATTGCAAGCAATGTATACTGCTTGCGATAATGTCGTTTTTGTCTAGAAACGTCATAATATTAATGTTATAATTACAAATATCATAAGTATATTAATGTTTTTGGAGTCACTGGTGGAAAGAAATCCCTTCTCGTGCTACATTGCACACCTGTCTTCTTTTCCGACACATTACAATAGTCCAAGACGGCATAATTTAATATTATTTGCGGAGTTTCGTACGCTGTCACAACAACATTGCGTTTGATGGCCGGTTTTTGACATTTTGGTAGATTTGGAGCATTTGCTCATAACCGCGGCACGCGTGTACCGCCCACAAGGCCGTTCTATCCTCCTTTATATGTTCTGTGGTGCCGAAGCATGGCTCTCCCACACTTAACGTCAGGTATTTAGTTTATGATTAATGTTTAGTTAATTTAATATGTATAATGATAGTTATTATTCAATGTTTACCTGGCATTGGTAGACTGCTGGTTTCGTTCATACTTCTAGGAGTTTTACTGGAGAATCCGAATCGTAATGGCAATTCAAACCTTTTGTACAAAGTAACCGCTGTTTTGTTCCTACATCTCACTGATATAGTGTACTCGCCAGCTGATGGCTCTGATAGTCGAAGAACCTGAACAAATTAAGATTTAATGTCATTTAAATCAACGAAAATCTCTATTATCTTCTTTCGATTGAACTGTTAGTGTATGTGAAAATGAATAATGTTGTTTATTAAGTAGGCACTGTTAAATCAAAATAAGTATTATATAGGTACTATAGAATTAAAAAAAAAATTAATGCGCTGCGACGCACCATAGGCTTTTTATGTGTACCTATATTCTTGTTGTGTGTCGTGGCGTAATAAATGGTTTTCCTTTCTTTCTTTCTATAACAAAAACATTTGAATAACTTTTCGTCAGAGTAAGTAATAAATCTATCTACTTAATACATTATCTTTGACTTAAAGGACTCAGTCGAAATTTTTATGTCATCGGTAGGTTGAAGGTCATTTCTTAAATATAATGCTATTTTTTAATTATATACGTAGTCCCATGTAGTAATAATAGCAGTAGTAGTAGTGATAATCTAGACCCTTACATTTCGATTTGGTTGATGAACTATACTTAATATGACTTACATGAGTATTTCTCATATCCAGTATTTTATCCACAGTCTGATTAGTATTTGGTATAGTTATTTCTACTCTGGGGTTATCTCCAGAAACAACCAGTAACCACGTCTTTGTAAATGAATCAACTGAAAACTAAAACATTATCTTTATATATATAATTCTGCTGTATGTGTGTATGTCATTGAACTCCTCCTAAACGGCTTGACTGATTTAAATTATTTTTTCTGTACGCGTTTGAGTGACGTCCTGGATGGTTTAGATTCACAAATTAGCAGATGGCACTACAGTCGGAGTATTTTTTTTTAAGGGATGAAAATCATCAAATGACTGCTCCCGCCTGGGTGAGGCGGGAGAGAGTGTCAGACTCCGACTTTGCCCGACACAGGAATCGAACCCGAGACCACTTGCACGGCAGTCACACTTGCAACCACTCGGCCAACGAGGCAGTCGATACAAATAATCGCGTTTAATTAGATAATTATAATTATACTTACAGTCAATTGCTTATTTTCTGTAAAAGTATCATAGGTGATAATGTCAGTCCACGTCTCATATATTACCTCTTTCATAAAACTGAAAGCCTGAAATATTTAAAACTGATAATTATTATCGTTAATCACGTTTCATAGCGTCACACAGCTTTGGGCAAGCAAGCAAGAAAGCAATAAAGCAAGTAGGTATTTAACCCTAGTATTACACGGAAATAATAGGTATGAGCTATAGATATTAAGATAAGCACATTTATCGCATTGGGCATTAACCTGTAAAGATAAATGTAAGTGGAATAAAATAAATAAATAAAATATAAATTAGGAAACTAAACCTTAAGTATCTACATACCAGTCTTAAAGACGCAGTGTCCAGAAGTAGAACTGATCCTGAACAAGCTTTAGCTATGTCGTAATATACTTGATCAGTTACACCTGGAGACAGTTCAGGAGAACAGAAACCGGTCAGGAATATCATCACCTTAAAACAAAGTGAATATCAGTAACAAGAAACAATAATTTAAGTACATACATAGGCATCAACAATCCTTGATAGTCTATTGTTGTAGAGGTATATTCCATAATCTCCGGGAACAGCAGGTTGTCGCAGTTTAAATGGATAATGTCTATTAATCTATTAAAGAGCCCGGTCTCTTAAGGTGCTTCCTCACAGCATTCGCGTGTAATCTAACTTTAGAGATCTGAGCATTACATCAGTGAAGGAGAACCGAGCATTACAATCCGCACCTTGTAATGTTACAAAAGTGTAATAATTATCTTGATACAACTTGTAATATCAATGCTTTTTCTGACATCTTGCTATGAAATGCTTAAAGTCGAATCAATATGTTACATTACACGCAAATGCTCGTTAGTCAGGGAGGTATTATATTATTGTAATATAATACTCAAAGTCGAATATATAATGTTACATTATTTTTTTATTTTTATTTTTTTATTTTATTTTATTTAGGTCAGCCAACGACTGTTTACACATCATTTTACAACAAATCGGTTTAGATACAATATTATGCATTTGCTAGTGTAACAATCAATTAAAGGCTAACACATCATGCTCAAGAGAATAGTTAGGTATTAGCCCAGGTATAAATTATTAAATTAAATTAAATTAATAAACATAAAACACAACTATTAAATTAACACAAAAATTAAATTATTAAACACAAATAATAGTTTCCCATAAACGGAAATCTATTTAAGGTGAACACACAATTAGAACAAACATAGGAAACAACAATAAAAATAAGAAAAAACAAAACAATTAGCATCTCATACATTATGCATTCTAGAATAGACAGACAAAGATTAGATTTCATCAAATTACAATAGGTTACATTAGGTTTCATTCACAACATAATTATTCATTTACATAATTAATTAATTAATTAATTATTCATTATTCATTTACATAATTATTCATTTATCCATTTACAATTACCTTAACAATCTTGGAAATACTGTCCTGGTTCAAATCCACTGAGTCACTGCAGCTATTGAGAATCCCACATAGCCTAGGTATAGGTGAGTTTCTGCCTAGTACAGACCTACGTTGTGGCGGGCATAAAGGCATAATAATATTTCTTGGGTATCTACATGGGGCATGGAATCCAACAAGACCCAACAATTTCGAACATTTAATTTTATGTCTCAATATTTTAAATAGAAATATGGCATCTGTGACATCTCTGCGTGTGGATAGAGTGTGCATCTTAAAATGTTGCATACGGGTTTTATAGGAAGGTAGCTGTTTATATTTTCCTTCACAAAAAGCTAAGTGCCACACAAAACGCTTTTGCACTCGTTCCAAACGCAGCATATGGGTGGCGTAGTGGGGTCTCCACACCACACTGCAATATTCTAATATGCTACGCACGAGACTGTTATACAGCATTATTTTTATACTACTTTTACGAAAGCTTCTTGTATTACGAATTATGAATCCAAGCATTTTAGATGATTTTTTAATTATATGTTCAAAGTGGGGAACAAAGGTTACCTTCCTATCAAAAAGCACACCTAAGTCCCGAATAGTTTCGCGTTCTCGCACTTTAACCTGATCAATATAGTATTCAGTGCCCATGTAGTTATTTTTCCTTGTAAATTTAACATGGTAACATTTGTCAGGATTTAGTTGCATTCTGTTATTTTTACACCACTCAATTACACTGTTAAGATCTTTCTGCAGAAGCTCGTTATCGTTTGGGGTTTCAATCATTCGTGCAAATTTCAAATCATCAGCATAAAGAAAAGGCTCTGAGTATTGAAAACACTGGGGCAGATCGTTAACAAATATATTGAATAGAGTTGGAGCTACATGTGTACCCTGAGGAGCGCCTGAAGTTATAATTTGCTCAGAAGATTTAAATCCATTAACAACGACGCAAAAATTGCGCCTCGTCAGGTATGATTCAAACCATTGCAACAAGGGCCCCGATATACCGTAAGCTGAAAGTTTATATATTAGTATGGTATGAGACATTTTGTCAAACGCCTTACTGAAGTCCGTATATATTACGTCAAATTGCTTGTTTTTATCTACTGCCTGAACTACTGACTCCGTAAAACTTACTAAGTTCGTTGCAGTAGATCTTGCCGTTACAAAACCATGCTGATGGTCGCTGAGGTATATTTCAAAATGACGCTGAAGATACGGGCATATAATAGATTCAAAAATCTTTGCAAAACCTGAAAGTATTGAAATGGGCCTGTAGTTTGAGATAGTGTTTTTACTATCAGATTTGTGCACTGGGACAACCCTTGCTTTTTTCCATTCCGAAGGAAAAGTACCTGATGCTAACGATGCATTAAAAATTATTATCAGAGGAGAAACCAGTGCCGCTGCACAGGAAGAAATAAATATTGGTGGGATATCATCAGGCCCCGGCCCCTTGGTGATATCAATTGTTTTTAGTTTATTAAGCAGACAGTCATGGTCAATTACTAGGGCGCTCAAACATTGACCGTTGCTATTCAGAGTCTGTAAGTACTCTGTCTGGCAATCCACCTCCTCCCCACTGTCAGATGTGTATACGGACGAGAAGTATTTGGCAAAAAGGTTGCAGATTTCAGAAACATTAGAGGTTACATTCTGTCCGTCAGTCATGGTCTGTGGGTAAGCACTTGATCCACCTCGTTTAGCTTTTATATAACTCCAAAAAAGTTTAGGATTACTTCTTATACCTTGTTCCAAATTTCTAAGGTAATCATTATACAAGGTCCTGGCTAATTTTGCACAACGCTTAGAGATTAAATTCAATTCGATTTTATCCATAGGATTTTTATACTTTTTAAAGCGTAGCCTCAACCTATTCTTTTCCTTCAACGATTTTATCATTATTTTGTTGAACCATGGTGGGTAACGACTATTATTTTGTTTTCTTACTGGTACAAATTTTTTAATTACTTCATACAAATGTTCGTAAAAAATAGTTACCATGTCATTTACATGATTACAATTGTTAAATAGAACACGCCAGTCTTGATCATTAAGATAACCATTAATATCTTTATAGTTTGCTTTATAGAAATTCGGTCTAGGAATGGAGTTATTATACGGCAGACAACGATTATTAACCGATGAAAGGGTTATATGAAGGGGTGGATGGAGTCTATCGATGACCGTCAGAGAGGAACTCGATTCCCTCACCGAACAGTTAGACACCGAAGACAACACCAGATCCAATGCGCGCCCAGAATAATTTTTTACGTGATTACATTGTACCAGGTGACTCATATTTACAAAATCCACCAAAATTTGGCTAGTTTTAGGCAGAGAATCATTAATAGTCTTTAAATCCCAATTGATTTTACCCTGATTAAAGTCACCGACAATGCAAGTAGGAATACTTGTTGAGTCTATAAACTTGTTGCAGTGTTCGACAAAATGCTCGAGGGTTGCCGGACTCACAGGCGGAGGTAGGTAAATTGCACAAAGGGCCATTTTAACAGGTTTTTGAGAGAGCGATATATCAACAGTGACCCAGAGATCTTCACACTTACTTTCCCAGTGTACTATACGTGACGAGTTAATCTGAATTATACGTGAATGCTCCTGTGCCTTTAGACGATTGTATTCCTTTAGCTCTCGCTTACTTCATTTGTGGAACGAAAGGCTGGCAATATTCGAATTCGTAAAAGGAACACGATTTGAATGTTTCTGTCGCTTAGACTGACTATAAAGAACAAGCACAGAAAAAAAAGAAAATATCAATTTATGACGACTTCCACTTAGGTATCATTTAGTAATTTACACTTTTTACCGACTTCAAAAAAGGAGGGGGTATGTTTATAAAATTTAAATTTTTTATTTATAATTTTAATGTTTTTATTTATTTATTTATATAAATTTAAATTGAGTTACAAAAATATATAATTATACAAGTGTTGTTTTAAAGCCGCATAATTTTTTAGGAGCCATGCCCCCGAGAAATGACACGGTTTCAAAACTACACCTTGTATATAAATTTAATTAAAAATATATATATATAATGGAGGAGGTACTATGTTCGGCTGATTGTTTTTTTTTCGTTTGTTCGCGCATTACTCCGCCATTTGTGAACCGATTTCGAAAATACATACTTGTTTTTTATTTAAGTAATTACCTGACTGCGAGAGCTTCGACATAGATTTTCGACGGAATGAAGCTTGCTAACATCTTTTGCGTAGGCGTCAGTGAACATGAAAATTGTAGATTGAGGTTTGCTTATTTGTAATGCCTTCTCTATGCCAGCAAGCGAATTTTCTGGGCACCTGTGTCCACCAGATACTGTGACAGCGTTCACAGCTGATAAAAACTGTGGCAAAGTGGGTACAATGATGGGTGTACCAACATCTGAAAGTTTAATGACATCCGTTATCATCACACATTTGAAAAAATATAACAACGCCTATTATTCCCGAAGGGTTAGGCAAAGGTGCACATGTAAGCATGTAGGCCCAGTCACTGCACAATGTAACACCCACTTTTTACTGTTATGCTATGTTATGTTATGAGTCCCATGTAATTAGGGGTGAGCCTATTACAGGGCATAATTCCAAACTCAGTGTGCTCCTATTGAGATTTTAGTTTTAAATACCTGGTAACATTTTGATCGACCCGAGAATCGAACCCGAGACCTTTTGCCTGGCAGTCGCACTGGCGACCACTCGGCCAACGACGCGAGCAATCGGGCCGGGTGGTTGTTCAGCATAAAAATATATTTTGTTATTTATTTATCATAAAATCCAGAGCTCTCAAACATTACACATTACATCCACAAACTATTCTTTCAGCCAATTACCGATTTACAATTTACTAACTAAATTTAAAATAGAAAAATACTTCGTCATAACTATTTCGACAAAGTTTTTTTATATAATATATTATGTATTGTAATATTTATGCAGTAGATATAAGTATTAGTTTAGCAGTGTATATAGTATGTTTGTCTGTTACGGCTAATACCCGAAATGCGGCTATACCTAGTTTTAGCCGGTTAGAACTATTTGCAGCCACTAACTCTTGGTTAAACCTAGTACGAACCGATTGACTATCAACCGTCCTCGAAAACAATCGACCATCCTCGAAAACAATCGAGCGTCCTCGGAAACAATCAAGCATCCTCGAAAACTATCGAGCATCCTCGAAAACTATCGAGCATCCTCGAAATCTATCGAGCGACCTCGAAAACTATCGAGCGTCCTCGAAATCTATCGAGCATCCTCGAAAACAATCGAGCGTCCTCGAAAACTATCGAGCATCCTCGAAAACAATCGAGAGTCCTCGAAAACTATCGAGCGTCCTCGAAAACAATCGAGAGTCCTCGAAAACTATCGAGCGTCCTCGAAATCTATCAAGCGTCCTCGAAAACAATTGAGAGTCCTCGAAAACTATCGAGCGTCCTCGAAAACAATCGAGCGTTCTCGAAAACAATCGAGAGTCCTCGAAAACTATCGAGCGTCCTCGAAATCTATCGAGCGTCCTCGAAAACTATCGAGCATCCTCGAAAATAATCGAGCGTCCTCGAAAACAATCGAGAGTCCTCGAAAGCTATCGAGCGTCCTCGAAATCTATCGAGCGTCCTCGAAAACTATCGAGCATCCTCGAAAATAATCGAGCGTCCTCGAAAACAATCGAGAGTCCTCGAAAGCTATCGAGCGTCCTCGAAATCTATCGAGCGTCCTCGAAAACAGTCGAGCGTCTTCGAAAACAATCGAGCGTCCTCGAAATCTATCGAGCATCAGCGAAACCTATCGATGGTCCTCGAAAACAATCGAGCGTCCTCGAAAACTGTCGAGCATCCTTGAAAACAATCCAGAGGCCTCGAAAACTATCAAGCGTCCTCGAAAACTATCGAGCATCCTCGAAAACTATCGAGCATCCTCGAAAACTATCGAGCGTCCTCGAAATCTATCGAGCATCCTCTAAAACTATCGAGCGTCCTCGAAATCTTCTTGACAAAATATTTGATATTTTCGGAATACTCGGTGCTCGACACAGGAGAAATTAAGTTTTCGATGTCGCCAATAGAACAAACATCGAAGCGCTTCAAACGGCGATATGGTAACGTAGAACGTTTCGTGGATATTTTGGCAGCTTTAACGTGTTGTATAAACTTGGAATACTGCACATCATTCATATAGTTTTGATTTTCACCATGTTTTGTGGCTAATAAACACTGAAACTGTTCCAAAAAACTTGACTTCATAGTCTGTAGGTCTTCATTCATAGCCATTCTGAATTCAAACGTATGAGTGAAACAAACAAAAACAAGAAAGTACGTCTATTCTATACAACGGCACAACGCGTACTAAACTCAAACTCAAAGCGAAAGGGCAAACGCGGGTGTACGGTAGGCGGGGCGGCAGGGGCGCGCGAGCGCGACGCGTCTCGCGTGAGCCAGGCGCCTGTTACTTGTTTCAACTTATTTGCTTCTAGTTTTATCCAACAGAGAATGGCTGGACCTAGTTGTAGCCGGCATGATGAAGGCTAGACCTAGTGTTACCCGAAAACAATAGGCTCGTACTAGGTTTAACCAAGAGTAAGTACACCTAGTTCTAACCGGCTAAAACTAGGTGTAGCCGCACTTCGGGTATTAGCCGTAACATCTATACATCTAAAATATTGTATTAATATTATATTAATTCTATAACTTTTTTTTTCTATAACTTGGTATTTATGTGTGTAGTAAACATATTACTTAATTTTTTTTTTAATTGTGTTCTGGCTTCGCATCAACCACTTCATTTCTCTGCACTTGGTTGCCCTCCAAGGCACTGCTATTTCATGGAACGATCATATCGTTTGAGAATTGTTTCATTGACTTTCGGTAGAGGCGCCGTAAGCGCAAGCGCTTAGTTTTGTTTTTGTCAAGATGGCGGCCCTTGTAAACGAAGACGAATTTTCTCGTAGCAAAAATGCGAATAATTATTTATTAAACGCGGAAGGAAATGAAAATAAAAGAAAATTTGATTGAAAAGTATTAGGGTATTATGCAAGTCATGTAAGTTTCGAGCAAAATGTGAAAAAACCGTGGAGTTTGGAACGTATTTCACAGGTTAAGTTAGTTTAGGTTCCTGGTGTTCATTAAATATTTTATGTTCACCCTATTTTTACGATATGGTCAAACGTGGGTGACCAAATCACTAAACGTTTATCGTTTAATGATTTGGTTATCATTAGTTGGCCACTTCATATAAAACGTGAACACTTCACGAAATGGTCAACCATTTCATGAAATGATCAATTCATCCATTTGGCCACGACAATATAAAAGTTTTTTTTTTTAAGGGGGAAAAAATCATCGAATGACTGGTCCCGTATGGGTGAGGCGGGAGGGAGTGTCAGACTCTTACTGACTAAAAACCACCCCGTTCCTTCTCCTGCACGTCGAGCCAGAGCCCCGGTTAACCGTTAGGTTTTCCGCGACTATATAAAAGTATTAGATATAAAATTGTGACACTGTATGTGATATGAGATATCTCACAACGATTACTAGACTTCCTACACGTGTTATTCATCTTGTTGTGTCATATTAATTGAAGTGTTTTAATATGAATATGTGTGATGAAGGCCAAATAGACCTTACGTATAAAAATAGGTCTTAAACATTGTAGTTGTAAGAGCTATTTTAAAACGGCATATCTATCTATATACAGATAAATGAAATTGGAGTGTCTGTTTATAATGTTTGTAATATATGCATACGATACACCTACTAAAATAACATTTTTTTTACAATTTTTATCTGTTTGTTTGTCTGTCTATTTGTATTGGTTAATCTCTGGAATGGCTGACGGTTGACGCGGTGGCTGGGCAACTGGCTGCCGTGCAACTTGTCGCGGCATCGATTCCCGCACGGAACAACTCTTTATGTGATCCACAGATTGTTGTTCCGGGTCTGCGTGTCATGTGTACGTGAACTTGTATGTTTGTAAACGCACCCACGACACAGGGGAACATTCTTGTATGGGGCAAAGTTACACAAAATATAAAAAATATATTCCTTTCAAAATAAAATGCTCTCATTTGAAAGGTAACTAAATTGTCTTTTATATGACATATGTTACCAATTAATAGAATACGTGTATTAGAAAATATCTATCAAGAAATGGAAAAGAAAATACGCTAGTGGCTCCGTTCTTTGCTGCCAGGTGAAAAGAAAAAGAATACGTGAAACAATTGCAAGAAAATAGCGTTTTGCTGTACCAGTAGAAAGGCACAGCCGATGGGGCAATAAGGTTCTCAAGAGGAGGCCACGTATCTTTTGGATAGACATGCAACCTGGAAGTCATTACTGAGACCAATGTTCAGCAGTGAATATCTTGCGGCAGACATGGTGATAAAATGAAAAGGTGATAAACTAAATAAAAACTCACCCGGATCGTTGAATGGTACCAAAATATAATTGCTTATGCCACTATTAGACATGTTAACAATGGATTGCAAATTAACTTTAATAGTAACAATCTCATCTTGCATAGACTTCGTTGTGTCTAAAACTACGGTGAAACTTTTTTCGCAAGATATAAGGCTGGTTAGCCCGAAATACAGCAAAAACTTGAACCACATTGTGCTTAGTTGTTAGGGAACTATGAAGTAATGCATACATTGAGACGAATCAAACTACTGCTATTTTAAATTATAAGGGTTAGTACATAAAATGAAATTGTAGACAGAAGTCTGACACATATTATTACACTTTACTGTTATCCGATTGTGGTATGTGCAAATAAATAAATAATAATATAATGTCTTCCTTGCCACATCCGGGTGAACCCGCGTTTTCACCCAGTCTGCTCAGCTTCTAATGATTGCAGCATGATGTTTCATATATAACCTATAACCTTCATCTGTAAATGCACTATCTAACAGAAAAATAATTATAAAATCGGACCGGATATAAGCGCGTTTAGAGACACAAAAAACTTTTAAATTTTATATAATAAAAAAGTAGTGTACAATGTTCTGTATAATCGCGCGCGCATTGTACTGAACTCAATACTATGATAGTACCTCTATATTTAATACGCCCCGAGGACACAGTGGAGCATACGGTGGCGGTGTGTCCTGTGTGGGTTGAGCACCGTCGTGTCCTCGGGATGTGATCGGCGACGGCTACCTCTTGCGTCCGGCTCTGGTTCAGACCATGGTACGGAGCGTAGGTAGGTAGGTAGGTAGCGAGGGTGACTGAGATGCCGTGTCCTCCTTCTGCGAAGCAGTTATGCTAGCTCAGGAAAAGGCGGGCCGCGTGAGAGAACAAACCTCCTCACGCCCTAGCCGTCGCGCGTCGCGAGAGACATTCCGGGCGTCGTCGGGGATCGGGAGACGATCTCCGGCTGACGATAAGCTCGGGCCTGCGGACGGCGACCACGGGTAACTCGCCGCCCGACAACAGGCAGGCCCGAGCGTACAGCGCGTCGCGTTCCGCGCGCGCCTCAAGGAGCCATCAGACCACCACAGATACCCAATAGGGCTGTTGCCGATACGGAGCCGTGGAGAACCTAACGGGTTACCGGGGCTCCGGCACGAAGTGCAAGAGTAGGAACGGGGTGATTTTTAGTCAGTAATAGTCTGACACTCCCTCTCGCCCTGAAGAAGGCATTGG